AAGCTAGGGTAAGTTAGTTAAAATACTTGTACAAAAAAGTAAATTAATAAATGAAAATGTTGAAAAACTTGCAACAATATTCAATTCAAGCGTATACTAATTTGTACTTATTAGAGGGTGTACTTGAACTTACAATCAGAGGATTCGGAGGAGATACTTCATCATATTTCCGAATGCTACTTTGAGGGGCAAATAACAGGTGATGCAGGCTTATGTGTTCTGCTTATTACTAATCTTACTTACATATATAAGATATCTAGAGGCAGAACTGCTTTCGAGCAATGCTAATTTTATGCTACTTATTTGTCATAATAATTCACACAAATACTTGTGAAACCCAGAAATATTTTTTGTTCAAGTTTATTATAAAAAGAATACATAGATATATCATTATCTCTCCGCATTGTTTATAATATTGTAATTAAATTCCTATTTTTTAAACATGTGTGCTGCACTAAAGCTGAGAAGTTTTATTGAGATTGAAATGTTATTGCTATTAAATTTTTCATAAATATATGGGCTAAAGTAAAGTCTTATGAGAAGGGGAAATAGTGGAGTTTGATCATATACTTTTTTTTTTAAGAAAGTATTGTGCTCTTTTGAAAATGAGAATGATTTGAGGTGTACTCGTATTTCACCTGTTAAATGCAAAGTTTGGGTAGCTATACTTCTTTTTATATTGCTTTATAGATATTTCAAGATCAAAAGTCTGCGTTGGTTAGCATCTATATGTCATATATCATAAAGTCTTTCACCATATTGTAGCGTTTCATTTCGTAGAGCTATGGCCGTTCGTATTTTGTACCCTTCGTTTAATTAACACCCCCGAGAGTTGTTTTCTTGACGCCTACTTCTATTCAGCAATAATAGAACATGATGCCTTCCGAAAATTAAATGATGCATAGCATTATTTACAATTAATTTACTTAAATTATATATAACTAACTCCCACCACTGCATTATATTTTTAGCTATTGCGAATTAGTATGCTGCTTGTTTAAAAAGGAGTTGTTGCAACTAAAAGCTACCAGAATGCAAAGAAGATTCCGTTCAATAACAGTAAATATATAGGTATAATAAAAATATCCATGTCCGAATACTTCATGAATATTTTATTCGTATGTGTGTTTGTTTGCGGCTTTATGCAATGATTGTGACTAATTTTTAATTACGCTACCTAACATACAAGAACAATTACAAGTGGTGCGCTGTTGCATATTATGAGTTTCATTATAATGGGTGCTGATGTGGAACATTCCGCATATGTATGTACACATGTACGAAAACAACAATTGTACTCATTTTTACTTTCGTTGGTTTAAACCTTTTAATTGCTCATGACAATTGTCATTTACAAAGCTTAAGCTGTCCCACATTTTCAGCGCTAGAGCGGGTTTATTTAAGTGGAGTAAGCAGTTATGTAAACCAACTTTACGATCAATTTCCACAAATTAAAATATATAACAGTAGTGACTAATTATATTTTGTATTATATATTAAAGGAAAAAGTGGAAAATAAGTCAATAAAAAACACCTTATCTGTTTGAGTTATGTATATTTAATGGTGACCGAGGTACGACCGTGGTGCCAGTACGCATATTACAAAAAAAGTTAAAAAAAGTAACTCTATGCTGTACTTTTTACGGCAATGATTTTAATCATTAGTTATCTATTTATCTACTTGTTAATATTTTTATAATAAAGAGTTGTAGACACAAGGATATAAGTGACAAACAGGACATTTTCCAGTAGGAGTGTTTGTTTTAAATGGCAATTACTGTATATTTCTGATATTTTGATGGATGTTCCATCTGTGAATGGTGATAAAAAACTTATTATTTTTTTAATCAAAAACAGAAAAGAAGAATGTGGAATAGTTTAAACCTATTATTGGGTCTATAACTATATTTGTGAGAGATGGCGTAACTTGATTATTATTCCATTGTTCTAATATTCCGATCAAGAGTTCCGAAATTCAAATTCTAACTGAGCAAACGTGCCAAAAGTGGTTTGCACGACTTAAGAGTGGTGATTTTGGCTTGGAAGACAAAGAGCGTCCTGGGCGGTCAAAAAAGTTTGAAGAGGAACAGAAAGCATTACTCGCTAAGATTGTTCACAAAAACAAGAAGAGCTCGCAGAATCTTTGGTAACCAGATATATTCAAAAGCAAGGAAATTGGATGCCATATGAATTGAAGCCAGGAAACGTTGTAATACAATTTTCCCTATCAGAGATACAGGCTACCAAAAAGTTGTGTTTGCATCGAATTGTGACTGGTGATGAAAAATGGATAAATCAAGACAACCTCAAACGCAAAAAAATCAAATCAACGGTAAAGTTGAATATCGCTGACGCTAAGGTAGTGCTGTGTGTTATGTGGGGTTAGAAGAACGTGCTATATTATGAGCTTCTAAAATCGGAGGAACCTTTAATGAGGAACGCTATCGGCAACAAATCATCAAAATTTGTGACTAGACACGCGGCAATAATTTTTTATCATGACAACGCTTGGCCTAATATTGCAAGATCGAATAAAAGTTATTTGAAAAATAGCAGCTGGGAAGTTTTGCCTCACCCGCCTTATAGCGAAGATCTTGCTCCTTCTGACTACCATTTTTTCCAGTCCAAGTAAACCAACCTTATCGGAATACGGTTCACTTCAGAACAGGGTATCGAAAATTGGCTTGATTCATTTTTGGCCGCCTGGTTTTTTGCTTCAAATGGGCAATATTACGATGCACGAATGTAGTTATAGACTGAAAAATCAAACAAATTTACCTATCTTTTCCATAAACGAATTCATAAAAACATACATACAGTAGTACATAGCACAAACATATTATAGGTAAACTTTGTAATTAGACACTAAAATGCTAGAACAGTATTAGCATTAATTGCAGTAATTTTTGGCATTGTTCAGATATACCTCAAAACTTATTTTAAAGCAATTTTATAAATATGTATATAAATGTAAATATACATTTATATGTAGTAAAGTTAGCCGGATGTTCCAAAATCCTGAATGTCAGTTATATGGGGCCTAAACTAAGTTTTCTTCCGATTTTATGTATTTTAGGCACAAAGGTATGCAGTTATTAGAAAAATACGCTCTCAATTTCATTAAAATAACTCCCACATTGGCCGATATTTATTAGGTATGTGGGGGATAAGGGGAAGTATTGACCCGATTCAACCCATTTGTGACACAAGCGTATATTATTATCACAAAAACGTTTTCCCCGAATTTTGATAACATATCACACAGATTGATCGATATTTTTGCCAAAAAGTCAGCCATACGCTCTGAGGTCCACTTATTCGGTATGTGGGGCTTGAACAGTTATGGTCTGATTTTGACAATTTTTGGTCATGGCACTCTTTGTGCGAAGTTTTATACCGTTATATTAATTAGTGCTTTATTTGTATACTGGAATGTGAAAAAATCATTTGGAATTTAAAACTATTTTATATGGGATGTTGGCATGGTTGTAGTCCGATTTCCTCCAAATTTCAGTTCTGTATCTTAATTTACGGCATAGTTATGGCACTTTGTACGTTTTCGATTAATGGCGTTTGTGGACATGGCAGCGGTCCGATTACGCCTATTTACGAACTCGTCCTTACTTTTATGCCAAGTAAAAATCTTTGTGATTATCATAAATTGAGGATAAACGAAATAGCTGGTGTTCTAAAGATATCAAAGCAACGTATTGTATATATTGTTTATGAATAATTGGGTATTACAATCGACGTATTTACAGTGTCACAAATAATCGAAACCGATAGAATAACTGTTTGAATTGGGCTACGAATTTCTTATATATGTTCCGAAATAAATGGCAAAAATGAGGCCAGTTTTCAAGCGAAATACAAATCGTACTTGGAAAGTATACTTAAAATGTTGGAGTATCGCTCTAACCGGTGTTTCGCCCTCGATTGCAATTATTTTGGATAATAAAATAAACACAAACATTTCAGTAAAAAGGGGTTTTCTGTAAAACTACACGAACTTTTCAGACCCTAAAAGATTATCATTTCTCGAGTTAAAATATGTACTCAATAAGATTACGCGAATATTTTTTTCGATAATAACCTATCACTATTCACAAAGCATTATGAGCTCGGTCCATTTATTTCATTATCTGTATATAATGTGTTGGTTTTCTTAATTGTCTAAAGCATATCTCTATGATAATATCATAATTTAAATCAACGGGTTCCTATCGCTTGTGAGCAATCAGTAATTGCAAAAAAATCGCTGTAAAAATTTTGATTGTACTTACATACATACGTACATGTAAAACTATTTAAGTTGTGTATTTAAACGAGCAATTAATCGACTTGTAAAAGCATATAGAGAACTAAGTCAAAATGTTAGCTGTAAACTACTCGCTATTCAGGTTTTATTTTACGCATTATGTGTACACATAATATTATATAAAGGAGACTGTATACGTACTATGGGGAGACACAAACAAAAATATTGAGATTTGGACGTATTGGACTATCAGAATTTCAGGACTTATCGATATCTTAAAGTTTTAAATTTTAAACAAATCTGATAAAATTTCTCAAAATGAACGCCTCAAACAGGACTTTGGATTTTGAAGAATATATGAGATGACTACAAACCTAACAAAACTAATACTAATATTTATTTAAAACAAAAATGTAATGGAAAATCAATATCATTAAAGGAATCTCTAAAACAAAATCAACACAACGTAAAATATTGAAAATCGTCTGACAAAACTAACAATAATATCATAACTCTATAAAATATAATATAATAGTGTTAAATACTACATCGCAAAATACAAGAATGATTACAACCATTAAAACTCATGCTATAAATATCAAAATTACTATCACATTACGTGCCTTCAAGTAGCATGCCCAAATTCGAACACTAAATTTTATGTCAAAACTTCATATTCATATACATATCCACATCAAGTTGTCGGCATAATTTTTTAAGCAATAAATTGTTCAACACTTACCTGCTTCGATGAGCAACACTTTCCATTGCGGTACCTCTGAGAGACGCGATGCAACAACCGCACCAGCTGAGCCGCCGCCAATCACAATAAAATCATAGTCATAATCGGGCTCCGAACGAAACTTTCGTATGGGAAAACAAATACCAAATAAATATTTATGTAGGTAAAATGTCAATAAAAGCTTATAAAATAGCAAAATAAATATGAGGAATAGCAAATGCATTGAAACCGATTTTATGAATTAAAACTATTCAAAAAAATGTTTTATCCTCTGTTACTGCATTTCGAGTTCTATCAGTATATATGTATGTAAAGACTTCAGTCCTAGCCACACAAATGTTTTATAAATCGTATGTTATTATTTTACTTTATCGGGAAAAGCATTGTTACCCCTCATCTGTGTTTTACTGACTTTTTGAATAATTGACTCATATATCGCAATGTAATGTATCTATTATAGAGAGCGCTGAGCACATTGAAACTCGCACAGTTTCTTTCAGGTAGGTGGGCATACACTCTGACAGAAGAGCGGCAATACTAGCGTTGAGCTCATAAACTTTGATCTCTCTGGACTATAATAGAATTCATAGATCTACTGAGCTACTTGCTCTTAGGATAGTTCATCTTGTCGCAATCGTTAGATATCTTATTGCACTTGGTCCAATAGGCATTCATACTGTTAACCTCTAAATACAGTCGGACGTAAGTTGTCATAGTTGTATGAAAGGAGGGCACTTTCTGCTACATTGTCCAGCTTCTGCATGACTGAAGTTGAAACATCGGCAGACATACCTACGTCGAACCAGAAGAAATAGCCGAAACTAACGTTAGCCGCCTTAAAAATATGTGTGATCAGCTTAAACGCTTTGCCAATATATATATGTATGTTATGAGGGTGAGAACTTCTGGGTACCACAAGGGATCGTCATTATAAGCTGCCCAAGTGGATCGACTATGGAATCTAATCCAATCTTAGCTCGAATCTAAGGTTCTCTATCTTGGAAACCGAAATTTGAACCGTATCAATTTTAAATTGCTTACGTTTTTCATACCAAAACGAAATTGGTATTTCTAATTGAAAGGAAAACCCAAACTCGTTCTGCACAAGAAACAGGTCCAATCGGATTTAATAAAATTATAAAAATCAAGTTTAGTAACGGATAATAACAAATTGGTCTCTGCTCTAGAGCGTAAGCCATATAATCGTTCTTACCTTAAATACTAATAAATTGTTTATTGTCGGTTTACATCACTTTAGCTCTTTATTTAAATAGTTCAGAATCTAGTTGACGCACGGCTTCTAATCAAGCTTGTTGAGCAAATAGTTATTTCAGCGGAAAAATCAATTGATAAAATGTAAGAAACAATAAAATTTGAAGAGCAAAAGTGAGAGGGTACGTGCTCTTATTTTGCAAAAGTTTCTTTTAATAATTGACTTTTTATTCACTACAGAATGCCTCAAGTTGTGCGTATATTATTGTACCACAGAGCACATATATACCTTAAGCCTTACGAATAGGCTTTCTCTTTAATATATGATAATCTGTTAATCTCTTAATTTATAAATTTGGTTATAATAAAATAATATAAGTTTTATCAAATCGGTTAGATTTATGAAACTTGGTTCTTTAACTGATATTTTTAGGAAGGGTAATCCTGTCCTATTTGTACTATACAAAATGGTTTCAATAATTTATATATGCTATGCTTGAACAATCGTCAGCCGATACCTTTACTCAGATTTTCAAAATTCGCACATTGTGTTGATACACACAGGAGATAAGATTAGACCCGCAAAGATAAATGAATAAATAGATAGTCGGATCTACGTAACGGGAACAAACTTTTATCCGTTTAAAGTCAGTCAACCACGAATTAAAAAAAAATCGATAGAAGTTTTGATCAATGAAATCATATATGTAAATGAAATATATTACTGAATACAACAAATAGTTCAAAAATATATAAACGACATTTGAATAGTACGTGTGTGCTTACGTTTATATTTCATGGTTATTGCTCGTTAGATTAACTATTTTGACTTACCCTTGGCGTGGCGCGGCCACAGGGATCCTCGAGATCACATTGCGAGCGTATGAACACCTCTAGCAGACCCATGAAGAGCATGAATGCGCTGCCGCCACAAGTGGATGCTAATGTGGGACCGGTTGGCACGCTCACCAGACAATCGCAGCGACCGGTTGACATATTTACGGCTTGTTGTTGTTATAGACAATTAGCTTTTTTTATTTTTGATTTTGTTTTAGCTTAATGATTTGCTTTTGAAAGTAAACACTAATGTGACACTCTAATAATCTTAATGCATTTGTTGTTATTGTGCCACACTTGTTATTGCTTTGTTAGTGGTAAGCCTCTGTCTGCACGCTTTTGATCAGATCTGCACGATCCAGTTTCGTTCGTATGTTCTTGTTGCTTGGTCTGTAAATAAGAGCGTAAATAAAACAACAATTTATATAAATTTGATTTTCTGGTTATAGAGTAGCTGCTGAGCAGAGATGTATTGCTCTATACGAGCATTCTTCAATTTCTAGTTCTCAAAACTCGCTTTTTCAGAATTACAAACATCAGGCAAAATAGAGAGTACTGAGTTAGCATGAAATCGAACATTATAGGTTCGGTCATTAATTTTTTTTTTATTTAATTTTTATATATATTTGGTTGGACGCTGATTCCGGAAAAAATCTTCAAAAGTTGAGCTCAACAGTACCGATACTCGTATATTTGTAATATTGTACCAAAATATGACTAATTGGATCGAGTTTACTCAAGTTTCCTCTAGAATATGCTGCATTGCAATTTTATGAAGATAACGCACTCACTGACCGACATATTCGACATAAAGTCTGCTAGAATAACGAAGATCATAATATAAGGTAAAAGGAAACTGGGATAATTCGTGTACCAGTATCACACATTTTCGGAATTAAGCTATAATATATTGATACAAAAATGGGTTAGTATTAGGGTATGTATTGACCCGATGAAACCGTTTTTGACGCAAAGGAAAGGATTGCTCTGCATTTTAGTAATATACCTCACAGATTGATCGATATTTTCGGTAAAAAGTCAACTAAGGCCTCTTTGAACCACATGTTAGGTAAATGCACCTGCAAATTTATGGTCCGACTTCGAAAATTTTTGTACGTGATAAGCTAAACCTCAAGGGCAGTATTTGATCCAGTCATTTCTAAGATATGTGGTTTCAGCTAAAAGTGGTCGGTGCCACGCCCATTGTACAATTTGGATACCTGCTTCTAGTATAAAGTTCTTCCTAATTATCTCGGGTGGGAAATTTGCTTTCTGACGTTTTTATTCAGTGAGTTATCGCAATTCAAAAAAACCGTTAAATGGGTAATGGGTGTAGTTATCATCGGATGTAAACCATTTTCATAATGTAGAAAAAACTGCTACAAAGATTTCTTATCAGTTAGTTTGGTTGATATAGCTTTATTTGTTTGTAAGATATGTACATATTAACCGTCAAGGTGTCCCTCAGCACTGCAATCCCCTGTATCAAATTTATGGAGTTAAACTTAAAAGCAAAAAAAAAAATGGTAAATGCGCAGTAAAAATATCTATATTAATAATATTTCTTAACAATATATGAGTCTGATTACTTTCAGAACAGTTCGACTTTTTTCGGCAAATTCTAGTTACAGACTAGACATTTTTCGAATTAGTTTATGATAGTTGAATATTAATATTTTTTCAGCCCAGAATGTTTCATGTTCAATATCTATATAAAGAATAAATAATATAATATATTATATAATTTGGGTCAGTAAAATCGTTTGGTTCACATATGCATATAGTAAATAATTAAGTTTACAAATGCTTAAAGTTTAGTACCTCCACAGGACTGAAGGAAATCAGAGATATTTTTTACTATTTAAAACTTTTATCCAATGTGTAGTGGCAAGAAGAATATATTTTTAAATATTTGTAAATTGTAAATTGAGAACCTCGATTATACAGAATTAACAATAGCATACAACAAAATAAAAGATATTACATGGTATTTGTATGATCACGCAGGCGGATAAAGCAGTTGCTGACAAATATATTTATTTATCATTCGTGAACTTGGCATTGATTTGTTAGAACTTTTTTTTCTACTGAACTTGCGCACTAGCAAAACATCTACAAACAACTTATTCTTCGGAGCTATTCAATTAGGATCGCTTCATAATTCCCATTCTGAAATTAGCAGTCTACACTGAGTATATACTTTGACAATCTTGAAAAAAATTTACTTAGCTTAAGCTTAGGAATTAAGTTATCACTTAAAATATTTTGAATCGAAAATGTCAGTAAACAAACGTAAACTTGAATGAGTCTTATAATTACAAAATAAACAACTGGGCACACATCTAGCAAGAGGCCTAAAAAATTGCAATTGAAGGTATGTTTGTTTTAATAATAATAAACAATTGAAATTCATAAAATTTTTCTTCCTAAAGTTCGCATGACCTTAACTGTAAACTAGGCGCAGCGTTAAAAATAAACCAACAAAACGACAATTAAAATCGGCAGCTGCCAAAATAACGGTAATATCATTTTTTTGTGGGCAACGGTACAATGTCTGTCGGCAGCCGCTTTTTCAGCGTTAATTTATAGCTGCCTCAAGGCCACAGAAAACGCCACAAACAAATACAACAGCAATGAAAACGCAAAAATAATGAATAATTCATAGTAATGAAATCGAAATTTACTGTATGTTACAACAAAAGCTGCGTCTAATAAACTGCAGCAGAATTCGAATTCGAGTTCGAAGATGTTGCAAGCATCTTTTTTAGTGTTACACTACTTACATTTGGCGAAAATTCATTAAAAGTAATGAGTTTTTAATTTGAAAAACATTAGATAATAAGCATTTGACTCAGTAAAGTGAATGATTAATGACAGCTTTAAGCTGGTCGCCGACTTCTTAATAACAATCATTGTTGTTATATTATATTATATAACTAATAGAAGGTTTTCAAACATCCGGTTGACTTAACACTTTATGTATTGGTCAATATGTGAAGCTATCTTAATAAAAATCAGAGCGAATTTTTTGCTAGTCATTTATAATCAAATATCAGTATTGTATCAAATATTACTTCCCAGTGCAGAAACTTATTTTTTATTAATTATATTCTTTTTTATTGGTTATAGATAAACTATTTTCATATACATATATTTCTTAACTGATCCAAAAATAATGACTTGAGATCAACATCTTCCATTTATTTTCATGCATTTCAAAAGAATGTCGGTAAATTATGGGTTAAGGTTTGCCGTTATCTTTGCCATACTCAATGAAACTTACTAATGAAGATACGCTATGAATTGTTTAACAAATTAAACGAAGATTCGCCTTTGCTCACATGCAACTAAGTAATTAAAAAAAATTATGAGTCAGCCACGCGTGACAATGGAAATGCATAAATCATAATAACTGTAGGGCGCATGCAAGAATCGACAACCTTAAAGAAATATATTTCTCTAATTGAGGTTCAACAGTTATTTGATGGTGGTGGTTCTACAAAAAGGCAAAATAGTCGTTATGGATGAATATACAAGTGCAAATACTCGTAAAAGCAATGATCTTTTAACGAAGAATTTAGCTTTAAGATCAATAGCTAGATAATATAAAAATCATTTGTTTAAATAGAAAACAAACATTATATCAAATGACCGATGTACATATTGTCATATAAAATGTGGCGCTATGTGGCCAGGATATCTGCGAACAAAAGAAATTAATTTATGCTTATACAAAATTGAGAAAGATTATGCAAATCATTTTTAGCGATTTTTTCTAAAATTTGTATTTTCCTGTGAACAAAATTAAAATATAAATTTGATATCTGCAGTATTCACTTGTGAGATGGAGCTGTAAACTGTCATTAGAACCTTGAAAATGCGTGACATGAAAATAGTCTTAAAAATCATCAAATGTAAAATATTTGTGTTATAAGTTGCATATTTGTTGCAAAATGAAACAGCTCAATAAATAACCAGCTCCAAAGCCTTAATAAATGGTTTTGCAGGCAAAACTTGTGATGATGTTACCGCATTAAAGTCAATGCTATTATACATATATATATAATATTAATGGAGTGACAAAAATCCAGACATGAAACTTCGAGATATATTTGATTAATTAGTAGTGTGTTACGACACAACTCAAATATATGGAGTAAGATATTTGCAACAACACGCACCACAACAACAACAGCAACAGGGGTACAGAAATGCATCTAATCACCAACTTTAAATGCTAATCGACTGAGATATTCGTGGCATGTTCAACACATGTGCGACGAGTGCCAGCCCCATTGTAATTGCAACCGTAACAACTGGCTACAATGGTTGGCCATCGGCTTAGAAATGCATAAATGGCCATGCAAACAGACATTTACAAGTACATGCAGAGAAATGCCATTTCTTGCAGCAAGCCAACAAGTAGCAGTTGCGAAAGAAATGCTTTTCCATGCGATGCATTTGCTTGTACAAGTTGCCAAGTAGTTTAAGAAGCTGCTTTACTCAGGCGGCTTGTTGATGTTGAAGCTATGGAAGCAGCTGCTGCTAACTAAGGTACTCTTTCTGAAACGCGAACAGCTGCCGCTGCAAATATTACAGTACCTTGGCTCTTTTCTAAATAGCTGCGGCTGCTTGCCAACATGGTAGCTTGTATGTGGCAGCTACTTCCTATTTTCACTTTCAGTTGTTAGTGCTTGCTGTTACTGGCACAGCGGATGCCGCGTTCGTTTTTGTTGCTTTAAACAGCCGTAAATACTTCTTCGACACTGCTAGTCATCGCTGAGGAATTGTTGTTGCAGTGACTGTTTTGTTGTTTTATTGACGTTGCATTGCTAGTTAATGGCATTGTTGCATATCTACTCATTTTTATACCCTGAACAGGGTATATAAAGTTTGCCACGAAGTTTGTAACACCCAAAAGGAAACGTCGGAGACCCTATAAAATATTATATATACATAAATAATCAGTAGTAAAGTGCTTACATGAAAAACTTTTTTATTTGACGAGGTACTTGCACGAAATTAGGCACGAGTTATTTTTTAAGGCAACAATGCATTCTCCGCAGAAATTGTTCAGATCAGATCACTATATCATATAGCTGCCATACAAACTGCCTTTGTATTTGTGCTTCGGTGCAACCGGAGTAAACGTTTTTTCTTGGTATGTGCTTTGAGTGCCAACTTTTTGGCTGGCCTTTTGATTTAAACCAAGTGATTTTAATGATGTTTCCACTTTTTTTATTTTCAGGCATATTTTCAGCAGGATTGCAAAAATGTGTGAGTACATATAAATTCGATATTTTTTTTTAATCAATGCGAAAGCATTTCGTTTAAATATAATTTGTAGGAATTGAAGTTCGTTTCTCAAGTCTTTTGTTTGACAATAAAAT